CCCCCTCCCCTCCCCCTCCCCCTCTCCCTGAAAACAAGAAAGGAGAGGGGATGAGAAACTACCATTTTTTTCGGAATGTTTCTTATGGATACCAAGCAAATCGAAGAGTTCGAAAGCCATGACCCGAACTATCTGTCCCCTCTTCCCTCTCCTCTCTCCCCCGTCCCCTCCCCTTTCCCCGCCCTTCCAATTCTTGAAATAAAAGAATTTGTGGCTCCAAAGAAGCAGAACTTACCAGGAGACCTGTACCGGCAAGCTGTTTATGAGGTTGTTATACATGAACGGGAAAGCAATACGATATTCAGTGCGAATTGGAGCACGTATGATCACCTTGTTGATGTCGTTAAATTCATTCCAGTCTTCGTCACTGCAAATATCTGCATTAGTTAGAAATCTTCGCTTCACAGGGATGCATTCCAACTCTGCATAGCTGCTCCTCTGAGCAGTCATTTCAATGCAAAAATCTTCGAAGAGTCGAAATTATATGAGTTGAACGACAGACAAGTGCAGTAAAATTTTTCTTCAGCACGCTTTTCTTAACTTTCTTTTAACTTTTTTTTTTGACTTAACTTTTTTTTCCTTCAGAACACTGTTCCAGATTTTACTGCAGTAAAAATTTGAAAAGTGCAGTAAAAATTCAGAGAAGTGCAGTAAAATTCAGAATTTTCAAATAAAGCTTTTCAGATTTAAAAATTTCTCTTCAAAATTCTTCAAAACGCAAAAATGAGGAAAACTTTTTTCAGGACGAAATAAGAAAAAAGAAAAAAAAAACAAAAAAAAAGGGATACGACCATCGCAAGGCTGCATAGGGTGATGTCCGCAGGTTATCCCACCCATAGAAAAGTGCACTGTCCATGTCTTCCTGGCCAATACAACAATGCTCTGTAGTTTATGAGTAGCTGAGCCCGAGACGAAACGGTAAAACAAGTTTTGAAACGACTAAAGCCTAGCTTGGTGCCTCTCCCGCAGAATCGCTAGTGCTGTTAATCCCTCCGGAAGGCAAGACGAATTTTAGCTTTGCCAGGTTGCTGGCCACTAGAAGATGTATTACAGACCGGAAATGTTACTAGCTTCACAGACTGGGACTGAAAATAAAAATTTCAGATATTCAGGCATGATGAATTTCAAATTTTCATGAAAAAGTCAAGCGAGGAGGAAACCGCTACAATATGCAAATTTGTAAGGGGTGATTGTAAAAACTGTCCAACACAAAAAGATTTTTCCTTTGACATCTCTTCTGACATCCTCGTAAAACATTCTTTTCATATCTCATTCTCGATGGGGAATGGATGGACTCAAAAGTAGCCAAACTGATAGCATACTGCAGACACCAATTGCTGGCAAGCCAAGCAAGTTACTGGCAAAAATGATGAACAGAAGCAAGTCAGTGGCGGATTTGACAACCTAGTATATTCCAGTCCAGAATAAAAGAACAATACAGGGCCCAAAGCCAGCGGGAATCAGGCCTTTAACCATTTACGTAACAGTGATGCCACTTGTCATTACACTCTAAAACCGCCACTTTTTTGCTTTCTACCGTTGAAAAAGCAAGTTTTGTAAGTGAAAATTTAAATAATTTCAAAGGAAAAAAACTTGCAGTGTATTGAGATCTTTCATTAATGGTTCAAATTTTGGGCCACCCGGAATCGCTACATTCAGAGCTTTGGCCGTAAAGAACGATTTCAAGTCGAACAGGTAGAAGTAATTGTCGTCCACCAAATCGGTTAGCAACTGATTGGCAAGACGATACAATGTGGCCATCATTGGAATGCTGAATGCCCAGCGTCGGTATGTGGAACCGTTCACAAACCTAAAACAGCAAGCTCTCTCTCCTTTCATACATATCTTCGTCCACAACCTTTGTTTTGACCCTAGACAGTGCGTTTGATCAAACTTCAGATCAATGCGTCCAAAAAATCCCTAGCAAACCGTCCAAAGTACAATTTCGGCTGTAGCAATTGAGAACAATTTCACAACCCTCTCGAAGGCATGGAAGAATTTTACGGTTAAAAAATAACTACTATTCAAAATACCTCTTTTGAATAATCTCTTTTGTTATATATTTTATCTCTTTTGATATATATATATGTGTATATATATACATATATATAATTTGATATATTTGATATATATTTGATACATATTTGATGTTTGATAATTGACATATTTGATATATAACAATCTTTTTTGATATATAATAATT